GGCAGTTTTGTGATTCCACTATGTAAGTCTTTTTATGACCTACACACCAAAAGATTTAATGCACTCAAATTAACATATTAAGCTGTTCTTCACTGTAGCTTCAGTACCTATTTGGCTGAAATGGGGCTTTTGGATTTCCCCATTAGCATATGCTAAAATAGGTATAATAGTGAATGAATTTCTAGTTCTAAGGTGGCAAAAGGTGAAACGCAAAACTAGTAGTGTTGTTGGTGAATAGAAACTGTAGCAAATGAATTTCTAGCTTCATGTTTAGCCATCATTGTCACTTGTAGGTCTCATCAAATGAGACGTTAGTGTATTTAATTTTGAGAAAAATTGGGTTAAACTTCAAGGAATACTACTATTGGATATCAGTTGTAGCTTTAATAGGATTCTGCATGATTTTTAACATTGCATTCATCATTGCATTGAGATATTTAAAGCGTAAGTTTTGGTGACATGTGCATATAAACTAATACTAGCAAGAAAATTGTAAACAACTTGAAGTTATGAGATCTAGTATTCAATGCTAACCTGTCAATATTGACAAATTAATTTGAGCTGCTTCAGGTATTAGTTGAGTTTTGAAATTGCATGAATGATGAAACATTATATTTCCAGTCATCCAAACTCTCATACATGTGCTTTTTCTTTTGTTTATACATTTATACATGTACTTTATACACATATACCTGTCAGTTCAACTCATTTCCTAGTGTAAAAAGAAATTCAAAATCAACTACTGCCTTCCTACAATTTGTAATGCAAAATTCAAGATCAGTCATTGAAACGTAGATTAACACAAAGCATGCTGCACATGATCAACCAGAGCAAATACAATTTAGGAGAAATCCATGTCTTGCAACTACTTAACCACGATAAGTAAGTACAAGTTCAACTTGAATTAGGAAGCAGCACCGAGTAACACACATCCAGCCAGTGCTCAACCACAACAAGAAAACAAAGTTCAGGATAGAGAGGAAAGCAGGACTTAACTACAACCGCCACTAGAATGGCCAGCAGAGACGACCGCCACGAGAATGGTTACCATAATCAACCCAGCGGAACTTCTCTTGAGCCTCGTATTCAAAATAGCCCCTTTTATCCCCAACCCTGAGAGTCTTGGTGGTCGTGTACTCATCCTTCGTACCAACTCTCCCAGCAGAACCTTTCTCCTTGAAGGTCTCCCCAGCGGACATAACCTCGTTGGCTGCAGTGCAAATGTGGTAACCTGTCTGCTTGTCCATATAACTGGCCTTTGCCGTCCTTTGATAGGAACTGGTTTGCTTGCCACTGTAGTTAGCTGCTTTCGGGGTTGTAATACCCACAACTTAGAAATTTTGTCAAAAGAAAATTTAAAAATCAAATTTTAAAGGTGCTTTTAAGACTGGAAAAAATTTTAAATATTTGATTTTCTCAAATTTATTTAAAAATTATTTGAAAAGTTAATTTTTTTAATTATATATTTTTAATAAAATTTTAAATTTATAAAAAAATTATTTTTTAAATAAGTACTTTTTAAATTTTGTCAACTATTTTATTTATGCAAAAGTCAAAGTAAGACAAAAATCACACTAAAAAAAGTAAAGATGTTTTTATCTTATAAAAATTGATTGATTTAACCAAAACTAATTCAATTCATTTAAAATCCAATGCAAACTCATATTAATTTGGATTGGTTTGAATTATAAAATTTTAATATTGATATAATTAATTTGATTTTTAATTTTATCTTTAAATTGATCAAACTACTCAATTACAAAATAATTTAATTAAATAATAACAGTTTATATTTATCAATCTTACCTTTCAAATTATATACAAATTATATTTTATATACAACAATATTTTTTGTAAACAAATTGTATTTTAAATTTTTGTTGTTGTACTTTTCTTATGTTTATAATATAATATTTTTATAATTATTCTACTATAATATTAATTGTATTTGTTATTATTTTATTTTATTTTTGTTCTATAATACAATATAACTTAATTAACATAATTAAAAAATAATACAACTCTAAATCATCTCTTGTACAAATAAAAACTCTATTTTTAAAACTCTCTTTCTTCTTGAACGGCAATAGTTCAGGTTTACATGTTTTAACTGTGTATTATAATATTAATTCTATTAGATATCATTTTATTATTTATTATGTTAAAATATTTTATAATTATATTTTTTACAATTTAATATTAAAATTTTTTATTTAATTAAATATTTTTAAAATAATATTAAAATCTAATTAATTCAACAAACTATACTAATTTGATCTTTAATTAGATTTTTTTAGTTATAATGCTATAATAAATTAAATTGATTTGAATTACTGAACAATTTAATTGATTTAATTTTAAAATTTTTTTACACCTGTCACACCCGTATATAAGAGCAAGAGTAAGTAATATAAATGAAAAAGTAAGAGTGGAGTATGTTACCGTATTTACTAACGGTATGGTGCTCGAAGGGGTCGACACCCGGTATGATGACATTTGAGATTTTAATAGGTCTGTATCCTACTAGTTCGGACATGACGGTGCTTTCTTCCGAGTTTCCGAAGAGAAGTTGATAAGAATTGCTAGAAAAGCTTTTTTGCCTGAGGCGCCTCGGCCTCAGCCAAACCCAGTATATAAAACCCAATCCACATATCAATACAGCAACACCAAGAACCCAGTCTGGAACTGCAGCAGTTGATGCCTCCATTTTCAGAGAGAGAGAGAGAGAGAGAGAGAGAGAGAGAGAGTAAGTGAGAGAAACAAGTTCGTCTGTGGTGGAAGACAGGGCAAGCATACTTATGAGTGCTTTTAGGTGAGACACTGACAGATATTTTGGTTTATTAACCAAAAAAAAAGGGAAACTAAATTTGAAGCCTATAAAATATTTCTAAATATAAATTTTATATTATTTAATAATTAATTTTTTTAATTTCATGAAATTTATAATATTATATATATTAATTATTTAAAAATATAATTTATATCATATTATTCCTCCCAACTTTATATTCTCTTCGTCGCTACGTAAACAGAAAGTTGAAGACGACTTTGGACTGCCAAAATCATGGATATGCCCTTCAACTTTCTAAATCTATAGCTAACTTTCCTTGAACTATAAAGATGTTACTTTATGCCCCTAAACTACACAAATTCAAGGAATTATCACCAAATTAACGAGAAAATCTCACGTGCCCGATACCATTCTATCTAAAATTGTCATGTCACACAACACATCGTCAATTTTTTACGCTTGTTGCCTTGCTGCATTGTAAAAAATAGAAGTTAAAAAACTAGAAATCTTAGCCGATGAAACTACGAGTTAACCTCCATCTTCTTCCGTTACTCTCGAATCTCTCTCCTCCCACTTCCTCCTCCTCCTCTTCTTTTCTTCTTTCTCCCTCCTCCCCACCTCCTCCTGGCTTCTCCCAAGAACCTATTATAGTTTCTCCCCTAATCTAATTTGATCAAGAAATTCCCCAAACTTACACGAATAACTGCTTGCTCTTGGAACCATTCACGAAGCGTTTACCCTTGCCATTGCCAAGCAAAAGTAATAGAATCAAACCATTAAAGAACAAAAATTTATCTTTTAATCTAGTTACTTTTCTTTTTCTTTTTTCCCTTTCCCCACAGAAATGCAACTAAGACATTCAGAAAATTTGAAAATCATCTATCAAGCATTATGTATACATCAAATTTGTATACTCAATTCTATAAAATGATTAAAATCAACAAGAATATTTTCCATCGTCAACAATTATGTCCATAATCTATCACCATTCAACAAAAAGAATCAAAATTAACAACACTCAAATGAAAATTTGCCATGAAAATAATGAAAACAGAGAAGTAAGAAAGAAGAGAGATTGAGTTTCTCCAAGAGAGTCGCAAAGAATCGGGAAAAGTGCGGGAGAAGGATGGATGAAGAAGATGGGGGCAAACTTGTGACTTCAAAGGTTAAGATTTTAAGTTTTATTCGTTTACAAACTCGAAGGCAGCCACGTGTAAAAAATTGATGACGTATTGCATCGACAAGGCAATTTTAGACGAGTGGTGGGTACGGGAGATTTTTCTATTAATTTGGTGATGATTTCTCAAGCGCTCATAGTTTTAGAGCTAAAAGTTACACACTTATAATTCAAGAAAAACCAGCTTCAAATTTAAAAAGTTGAGGGGCAGGGGCGAATAAGTGATCTTTGTCACTTTGGCCTTCGCTTCTTTTTATCTCGGGCCGATGACAATTCGATTTTTGTCGAGGGCGCTGACAGAGCAACCAATGGTGTCTTGAAGTTCGGTATCCCTATCTGATTCACTTCTTTAATGTTATATGATACTGCAACTTTTGTTATAAAATGAATTAAAAAAATATAAAGACTTTATATTAGAGTCGTATTAATTTTTATATAAGTAAATAAAGGAAGATTAAAAAATCTTTTATTTATCGAATTAAAATAATAATTGTCTTGCACTAAACCTTTCAATCTAAAGACGTCAAATCACATTTAAATTGTATTTTTTTAGTAATGATTTGAATTCAATTTTTTGTAAATTTATTAAAATAATAATAATAATAATAAATATTTTATTGATGTTAAAAATAAAATTATTTTTTATATTTTTTATATAAATTAATAAATTTAATATAATTAGTGCATTCTTTAATTTTTTAACTTAAGTAGTAGGCGTGTTACTATGCTTTAACAGAGAAAACAATCATCTAGACAAAAATTTCCCATATCCTATGCTGAAAATTTGACGTAGTTACTTTTTCTTAATCTTTGGATACTTAGGCACGAAGAATGATTAAATAATTCCATCCCCTTAACGAAAATGAAGGCCATGAAAATGAAATGACAAAATGACCGAGTGGGAAGTGGACAATATTTAAAGATGAGGAAGGAATCGCAACCCAGCACTGGGAGTGCCTCTTCATCCCTATCTCTGTCAGGGCAGTGAATGGGGTCCCTGCCGGGGTCCCGTATCTCCCACCAGTCTTCTATTAAAATATGAAAAATTTTATTCTTTAAACATAATCAAATGAAGTCTAAATACGATGAACAAAGTTCTATATGTTTAAAATTAATACATTTATTTCCTAACAACTCAAATTTCAATACAATCACTACGAAATGCACAAGAAGTGGAAAACTTCGTAAGTATCATAAGTGCAGACTGTAGAGTAATTTCCTTATCTTCGTCTTTTCCTTGTGCCTAAGATGCTTACTTTCGGTGCAGAATGGTTCTGAAGAACGAGAGGGCATGAGAAGAAAAAAGGATATCAACAACTATGCAATAAAATCTAATGATTTATTTGGAATGTTTTGAAACAGAAACGAAGAAAAAAGAAGATGCGTGCATTACAAGAGCTAATACCCAAAACAAGGTGTAGATTGAAAAAAAAAAAAAAAACTTATTACATTCAAGATCTGAAATTATGAGATAAAATAATAAAAAACAACAATACCTAGCTTTAGATCCGCAGGTGAAGCAAGACGTGTGAATTCGAGAGGATGCGAATTGAGTGAATGGCTTCGGCAGACGGGCAGTAATTCAACTCCAGCAGATGGCTTCAAAAGGCAAAGGCTGAAAGGAAAGTCTGGGAATCCAAGCATGAGTGAGTCACTCGAATTGATGACTAATGAGGGGCTGGCTAAGGGCTAGGGTTAGAGTTAGTAAAGTGAGTTAGATATAGGCTGGGTTGGGTTGAGTTTTAATTAGGGCTGGAATTAATGTTTATTGAGTTGGGTTGAGCTTAATTGGGTTGAATTTTGAATTGGATTAAACTTGAACTGAAAGCCTGAATGTCAAATGAGGAATGGAATTTATATATATATAAATATATATATAATTTTTTACGTGAAACCCATGGTGAAAATTCCCTACAAAAATTTACAGGAAAAAATGCCCCATCCCTCCGGGAAGTATATTCCTCTCACCCTGGGATTGGGGAAATTGCCACCCTTAGATGAGGTGTTACTTAAGCAGCATGTAGTCATGCATTACACCCGCGAACCGCAGATGCAGAAAGTAAATTTTGTTCCACTCCCCACCAAATTGCAGTTTCTTATTCCATGGTATTTTCACTTCGTTGGTTTCTGGTTCTAGGACTAAAATTCAATTTAAATCCCAAAAAAAGTTATGTATCATGTTTAAACAATAAATATATTATAATTATATTATTATGTAATATTATAAATTTATAATATAAAATATTATTTTATAATTAATTTTTTCATTTAAATATTTATTTATAATATTATATATTAACTCATTTAATATTATATTATATTTTTTTAATATCATATAAAATTTTAAATTTATAAATTTACGTAATATTATAATTATAATATTATCATTCCACAAAACCCCAAACAAATATGAAAAGGGAGTTTCGTGTCGTGTCTTCCACTTTCAACAAATGAGTGATGAGTTGCTCCCTTTACTTCTAACTTATAGTAGTAATTAAATACAACACAAAGAAGGATAAGTAGGGCTTAGGGGGCCACTTAAAAAAAATTAATATAATGCTAGTTATTTATAAACTTTTAAATTAACAGTTATAGTATGTTTTGTCTCTATTTTTAAAAATAGTAATATTTGAGAAAATGTATTTATTTATTATTTATTTTGATGTAAGGGTTCTTTTTTAAAAATGCAAGTTAAGTGTGTTACAAATGATTTTTTTAAATATTATTTATATAAATATATATAATATTAATTTTAACACTCATTCTATATAAATATTTTTAATTAAACAATTGATATAAATAATATCAACTTTTGTTTTTTATGTATATTAATAAAAAAATATAATAAATACTCATTTAACTTATACTCTAAAAAGTAAAAGTAAAAAAAAAAACCTCTGTATAGCATACAAATGTATTTTTATTATCTAAATAGAATAATGACCAGGAGGATATCATCCATTTCCCTTCCCTCAGTTTCTCTTAAAGTAAATATAGAATAATAATATAATTGGATTGAGGGAAATTGAGAGGAGTGGAGTGGAGGGGAGTAGCTCTATTCATTTAGATAAATAAATAATTAAATTAAAATAAAAAATAAAAGATTTTTTTCTCCACCTCTTTTCTCTAATTTTTTGATAATTAAATAGAGAAATTTTTTTTCTTTTCATCCCCTTTTTTCAAATCAAACATATTATATATAAATCTAACAGTTGGTTTTTATATATTCATTAAAAAATGACATTTTTAATTGAAATTTCATAGAATTAGGATTTATATGCACTATTCTTAAATAATAATTTAAAATTCATTTACAAGTATAAATCTTACATTAATTATTAGATTTAAAAATCTAATTTTGTGAAATATTAATTTCAAACAATTCTCATTTATCAACTACTATTAATTTTAACTAAAAGAGTGTTTATGTGCACTTGAGACCTCATTGGTTCCTTTACTTTATTATTATTATTATTATTATTTTGTAATTTTTAAAAAGAAAAATTCACTCACAAAAAAATACATTTGTTGAGTGCAATTAGCATTTTCCATTTCTAACCAAAGAAAAAAAAAAAA